GACATTAGCTTTATGCAACCCTAACCCCCACCCCTCCCTACAACAAACACAGTAGGCTGTGAATAAGGGTCTCGCAAATCATCCATTTGCTCAATAAATAGTCACGTGATCATAAAAAAATTTTATGTCAAAAAAATTGCCCGACGTGGTTCTATATATGTGTGAAGTTTCAATATTGTCACTCCAACAGTTCCAGAGGAATCGCCCAAGAAACACAACCGGAAGATTTTGAAGGCCTTTATACATAAGTAAATTAGCGATTGGTTTTTGATGCAAGTAAAAGTAGTTTTTATAACTTATAAGGTAGTATTATCATAATTATTATTATTAATAAATACAGTTCACCCTAACTCCTCTTGGGGGAACCTCTCCTCATAGGAAACTGAATTAAAATCACTGTTGGATTTCCTAAACTTATAATGTTAAAATAATATCTCAGGAAATTTTATGAAAAACTAGTCAACATTTTACAACATAATACAATAATTAAGGCATATTTTCAAAACTGAAACTGAAAACAAACAACAAAATATATATATTTCAAATTAGTTTAACTTAAAAGAAACTGAAACCGTTAATTTATATCGTAGAAAGCTTTTAATAGCAGAATAACAAATATAATGTGTTTTTTAATTAAATAAATAAAATATATTTTGCGTGTTTATATACGAACTTCCCTTGGAGAAACTTTCCCTATAAGAAACACTATTGCCGTGCAACTGGCCGTTTCTTACAGAGAGGTTGCACTATATAACATTTATTCAGTAATATAGGTGTACCAAGGTTCATTATTGCACTACCTATTAGGAAATATAGTACTAATCTATTAAATCTCATAATAATATAATTGACTTCATTTTTTGTTTGAATTTTAATCTTATAATAATAATAAAGTTAAATATAACAATTTATATAAGTGTTGGTAATTTCTTACATACTTTCTAATAATACTTGAGATAAAATTAGGTATAAATAAGAATAAATGTTATGAAATGTATTAATTACTTTTATTCAAGAATAAACATGGTATTCCATAATAAACTTGTGGTTATATTTTTAACCTATTATTTATCACAAAGTAATGGATTTCAAACTGAAAGAAAAGTTTCTGATTATACGAAAAAATTTGTTTTAAACCAAAAGTTTGATTCAATTGAAGACGTGATAAAAGATGGCAGAAATCAGATAAAAGACTTAATGCAAAAGCAGTCAATTCCCGGAACTGTTATTGGGTTTAGTATTAACGGCACAAATGTGTGGACCGAAGGGTTTGGTTATACGGATGTCGAGAACGATGTCATCACTCATAAGGACTCCGTTTGGCGTTTGGCCAGTATTTCAAAAACATTGACTTCGGCACTGATTGGACGGCTTATGGACAAGAAGTTGATTGATCTCAACCACGATATCCACAAATATTTGTCACCGGATTTCTATCCTTATAAGACATTCAACGGATCCGTAGTTAATATAACGGTTCGGGAAGTTATGTCACATTTGGCTGGTATGGGAGATGTGAGTGTAAAATATGCCTATCGAGCAGTAAATGTGAGCGAAACTATCGCTCAACAAAAAGACACGCCGTTGTCATCAAAACCCAATACAACATTCAGTTATTCTAATTACGGCTACCAAATGGTCGGCGCTATCATTGAAGCCGTGCTTAACAGCACTTATGATGAAGAAATTGAGAAAATGTTTCGACAATTGAATATGAATTCAACATTTGCTGAGAAAAGGGAAGCGATTTATAAACACAGACCACAGTTTTATATGAATGCAACGACACTAACAAAATCAGATATCATTGATGAGTTGGTTTCGTACGAGGGTATGTGGCCGTGTGGGGGTAATATAGCAACAGCTAGTGATATGATTAGGTTTGGAAATGCTATGATATCTGCATATAATGGCAAACAGAAAGGTAATAGGTTTTTAAAATATTATATTTATAATAAATTCTAATAATATATTAATTTAATAGACTTTTTAAGTAAGGAAACAGTGAAAGAGTTGTGGACTCCGGAGACTATCGGCAAAATTAAACCCAAAGATTTACTTGACTACTTGGGTCCTTTTGAATATGGTCTGTATTTATAATACAAATATATTTATAATTATTTTTAATTAAAAAGTATTTTATTTCTAATAATCAGGCAAAGGATGGTTTATTAAAGCTATTCCTGAATCGGATCCCTATCCATACAAGAAAATAATATGGCATGGTGGAAATTTGAGCGGCACTACAACAATGCTTTTGTTATTTCCCGACCAGAATATAGTGGGCGTTGCCTTTGCTAATAAGGGAGTCGTTTTGAATTTGGATAAACTGATTGAAAATGTGGCCAAAAATTTTAAGCAGTTTATATAATTTTATTTTAATGTTGTACTTTTATACAATTTAATAAACTGAATAGATGCCTTAATTTAAACGGTAGTTTTTTCATGTCATAAAATATTAACATGGTTTTACTTTAAGTCATTACAATTTGGTGTTTTATTATGTTAACCCTTTTATGCATCTTAAGAGTTATGGTTTATTACCTATAGAATAACGATCATGATCATATTAAACTGTGAATTAAACTCGCATCTAGCGTGACCAACTCCAGTATTTGAAAAAGAGGATTTTTGACTAATTTTCTCGGGATTTTAGAGAACAAATAGAGGACACCTTTTTAAAGGCGTTTTTAATATAAAATTTTAACCTCAAAAATTAAAATAGATTTAATTTTCAAAAATTTATATTGATTAATTTATTGCTAAATGATAAAAGATATTGAAATGTATAAATTTACAAATTTACATATTTAATTTTTAATTTATTTTATTGTTATTTGTTCTAGTTATTTATCTTTATCACATAAAATAATCCTCCAATTCAACAAAAGCTTTTGAAAAAAAATTTCAACAAATCTGTCTTATAATTCATATAAAATATTGTATTTAGCAATAATATTTAGATATAAGGTATAACGGCAATACTAAACTTACAATTAATTAATGCCGTAGCTCATTTTTGCTTATTTAAATATAAATAATTACTAGATACAATAAATCAAAATAAAAATTTAGCTTGTAAATTATATTACTTAAATTATTTGTCCTCTATTAGTTATAGTATGCTTTAGAAATATAGAATATATGAAATGATTGATAAACAATATATACTTTATCAAAATTTAACTTAAATAATAGCGAGAATTACTAATTTTATTAGAAAATAAAATAGAGGACGTTCAATAGTCCTCTTTAACCTGTTCAGAGGACAGTGGACACAAAGTCCAAATAAAGGATTGTCCTCTGAAATAGAGGACGGTTGGTCACGCTACTCGCATCTCATACTCTCAGACGTGCAAATAAACAGCACATTCCAAAGTTCAACACTCAAAATCCAGGTTATGCTTTAATTCAATCACTTTACTAATTAATCAATAGACATATCAACGTATAACAAATATACTATTATATCAAAGTACCTAGCTTCGGTATAGTATTTTATTGCATTAATATTGGAAAATATAATACTAATCTATAATACTAATTAATATTAATAATAATCGATAAATTACTTTATTGTTTAGAAAAAAATAGCTTTTCATATAAAAATTTGGTATAAATAAGAAAAAGGTTTTGAAATGTTTGCATATTATATGTAAATACTTTCTTTCGAAAAGAAACATGTTATTCAATATTAAACTTGTGTTTATATTTTTAACGTATTATTTGTCCCAAAGTAATGGTTTTCAATCTGAATGGCAATTAAATTATTTCAATGATTATAATGAAAAATATGCTTCAAATCAAAAGTTTGAATCAATTGAAGACGTGATAAAAGATGGTAGAAATCAGATGAAAGACTTAATGAAAAAGCAATCAATTCCCGGAACTGTTATTGGGTTTAGTATTAACGGCACAAATGTGTGGACCGAAGGGTTTGGTTATACGGATGTCGAGAACGATGTCATCACTCATAAGGACTCGATCTGGCGTTTGGCCAGTATTTCAAAGACATTGACTTCAGCACTGATTGGACAGCTTATGGACAAGAAGTTAATTAATCTCAACCACAATATCCACAGGTATTTGTCACCGGATTTCTATCCCTATAAGACATTCAACGGATTGGCGGTTAATATAACGGTTCGGGAAGTGATGTCACATATGGCTGGTCTTCGTTTTACTAAATTACCCGACGATTTGGCACATGTTTTTCACTCACAAAATGTGAGCCAAACTATCTCTCAATTCAAAGACGAGAAACTTTTATCTAAACCGAACACAACATTCAGTTACTCTAACTACGGCTACCAAATGGTCGGCGCTATCATTGAAGCCGTGCTTAACAGCACTTATGATAAAGAAATTGAGAAAATGTTTCGACAATTGAATATGAATTCAACATTTGCTGAGAAAAGAGAAGCCATTTATAAACACAGACCACAGTATTATATGAATGCAAAAACTCTAACAAAATCAGATATTATTGATGAGTTGGTTTCATACGAGGGTCAGTGGCCGTGTGGGGGTAATATAGCAACTGCTAGTGATATGATTAGGTTTGGAAACGCTATGATATCTGCATATAATGGCAAACAGAAGGGTAATATTTATAATAGATTATATTTATAATAAATTTTAATAATAAAGTAACAAATTCTATGAATTTAATAGACTTTTTAAGCAAAGAAACAGTGAAAGAGTTGTGGACTCCGGAGACTATCGGCAAAATTAAACCCAAAGAATGGATTGAATTATTGGGTCCCTTTGAATACGGTTTGCATTTTTAATACGATATTTATATTTATTATTAATTAAAAAGTACTTTATTTGTAATAAAAAGGCAAAGGATGGTTTATCAAGACTATTCCTGAATCGGATCCCTATCCATATAAGAAAATAATCTGGCATGGTGGTAATCTCGGCGCCAGTACAACAATGCTTATACTGTTTCCCGACCAGAATATAGTGGGCGTTGCCTTCGCTAATAAGGGAGCCGTTTTGAAATTGGATAAACTGATTGAAAATGTGGCCAAAAATTTTAAACAATTTTTATAACTGTATTTCAATGTTGTACCTTTATCCATTTTAATAAAATTATGTTAATGCTTTAATTTGAACTAGCTTTCTTTGGGAATAAAGGCGTTAATAAATCCGATCGCATTAGATGCAGTTTTTGAATTTTTAAAAAATATGTGTACATGGTTTTATATTTAGTCATTAAACTTTTATAACATTTTATATAACATACGAGAATAATAAAATAATTATTTTTTATGCAATTAATGTGTAATCTATGTAATTATTACAAAATGTGACAACTTATTAAAGCAAATAATTTTATGAACAAAGGTTTAAATTATACAGTAGTTATATAATTATACTATGTTATATATAATACTTTAATGATTAAAGTTTAATTATTTGAAAAATTATTGTAATACAACAATCAATTAATTATTTTGTGTTTAGAATAATGAGCCATTTTTATTATTTTTCAAATATGCTTTTTATTCATTAATTCAATAATTAAAATTAATACTTAAATACATTCTACAAAAATTGCTTAAAATTTTTGGCCACATTTTGAATTAATAGATCCAAACCATCGGTAAAGCCTTTATTGCTAAATACAACGCCCACTATATTCTGGTCGGGAAATACACTAAGGTGAGTTGTAGTGCCAAAGAGATTACCACCATGGTGCAATATCTTTTTATAAGGATAGGGATCTGATTCCGGAATATCCTTTATAAACCATCCTTTGGCTGATTATTACAAATAAATAAACTTAAAATTCATATCAGAATAATGTTTGTTAAATACAAACCGTATTCAAAAGGACCCAATAATTCGATCCAATCTTTGGGTTTAATTTTGCCGATAGTCTCCGGAGTCCACAACTCTTTGGCTGTTTTCTCACTTAAGAAATCTATTAAAATAATGAATTAATAATATAAAATAAAATATAAGTTTATTGTTACCTTTAGATATTCCTTTATTTGCGGATATCATTGCGTTTCCAAACTTTATTAAATCACTGGCAGTCGATATGATGCCACCCGCCGGCCACCAGCCCTCGTATGACCACAACTCGTCGATTATATCTGATTTCTCTAATTTAGTTGAATTCATATAATACTGTGGTCTGTGTTTATAAATCGCTTCTCTTTTCTCAGCAAACGTTGAATTCATATTCAATTGTCGAAACATTTTCTCAATTTCTTTATCATAAGTGCTGTTAAGCACGGCTTCAATGATAGCGCCGACCATTTCGTAACCATAGTTTGAATAACTGAATTCAGTGTTAGGTTTAATTAACAATTTTTCGTCTTTGAATTGAGCGATTGCATGACTCGTATTTACTGCTCGATAGACATGATTATAATCATCTAAATGAGTAAAACGAAGTCCAGCTAAATGTGACATTACTTCCCGAACTGTTATATTAACCGCCGATCCGTTGAATGTCTTATAGGGATAGAAATCCGGTGACAAATATGTGTGGATATCGTGGTTGAGATCAATCAACTTCTTGTCCATAAGCCGTCCAATCAGTGCTGAAGTCAATGGCTTTGAAATACTGGCCAAACGCCAGATCGAGTCCTTATGAGTGATGACATCGTTCTCGACATCCGTATAACCAAACCCTTCGGTCCACACATTTGTGCCGTTAATACTAAACNTATTATTAAAAGAAACATTAAAATATTATTAGAAATGTTAATTATCAAAACAATATTAGCTATAATTTTATGCAATATTTTGTCACAAACTCATGGATTCGAGTGTGAATTAAAATTCAATCAAAGAAAAGATTTGAATCAATCGTTTGATTCAATTGAAGACGTGATAAAAGATGGCAGAAATCAGATGAAAGACTTAATGACAAATCAGTCAATTCCCGGAACTGTTATAGCGTTTAGTATTAACGGCACAAATGTGTGGACCGAAGGGTTTGGTTATACGGATGTCGAGAACGATGTCATCACTCATAAGGACTCGATCTGGCGTTTGGCCAGTATTTCAAAGCCATTGACTTCAGCACTGATTGGACGGCTTATGGACAAGAAGTTGATTGATCTCAACCACGATATCCACAGATATCTGTCACCAGATTTCTATCCCTATAAGACATTCAACGGATCGGCAGTTAATATAACGGTTCGAGAGGTCATATCACATTTGGCTGGACTCCATGTTACTCAAGTTCCCAATGATTTTACTCATATTTTTCACGCGACAAATGTGAGCCAAACTATCACTGCTTACAAATATGAACAACTATTATCAAAACCCAACACAACATTCAGTTACTCTAATTATGGCTTTCAAATGGTCGGCGCTATCATTGAAGCCGTGCTTAACAGCACTTATGATAAAGAAATTGAGAAAATGTTTCGACAATTGAATATGAATTCAACATTTGCTGAGAAAAGGGAAGCGATTTATAAACACAGACCACAGTATTATAATTACACGACAAAATTAATTAAATCAAACATTATTGACGAGTTGTTCTCATACGAGTCCTGGTGGCCGTCGGCGGGTATAATATCAACGGCTAGTGATTTAATAAGATTTGGAAACTCTATGCTATCGGCATATAAAGGCCATAATAAAGGTAAATAACTGTAAAAATAATATGTTATTTATTCTTTCATTTTATAGATTTCTTGAGTGAGGAAACAGTGAAAGAGTTGTGGACTCCGGAGACTATCGGCAAAATTAAACCCAAAGATATGAAAGACGAATATGGTAAAGTATAATACAGTAGAATGTTTATAATGAAATATATTGTTTTTAATTTTAATAAATGCTAAATATTTGTCAGCCAAAGGATGGTTTGTGACCCAAATTGCCGAACCCTATCCCTATCGGACCCAAATATGGCACGCGGGAGGACTGTTGGGCACCTCAACAATGCTTATACTGTTTCCCAACCAGAATATAGTGGGCGTTGCCTTCGCTAATAAGGGCTGGACTGTAGGGTTGGATCAACTGATCCTCTCTGTGGCCAAGAATTTTGAAGAGTTTTTGTAAATTATATCTGAATTTGATTTTATATATTATTGTCTATTATAATAATAAATGTTAACTTACATCATAACACAAATTTAATTCTGATTGATTATTATGAAATGTGCATATAAACTTTGTGTTGTTTTATTTTATAAATTGTTTAATTTTCCTTAGAAAATAACCAGGTAAACATAACAATTTAATACATAATATTTAATAAATAATTACATAAATAAACTATATGTGAAATCATGAATATACAATTTGCGTTTGTCTCATTAGATAACCATAATCATTAACCTTGGACACTTATAATTCCAAATATGGTATTGATTCACATTTACAATAAGTGATATACTTTTGATCAGTTTCTGTGTGTATATAAACACACGGTTGGGATAAATATATTTATTATAAAATATAAAGTGGTAACAAATAACAACTCTATATCTCTAAATATTCAATTAAACAATAATTTTATACAAAATACTTAATAAAATGTTTATAAAATATAAATTATTGTTTATATACTTATGCTATTATTTATCGCAAACAAATGGTTTCCAATTCGAGTCCGAATTCAATCACTTTATGAGAAGTGATTTTATGGAAAATAACTTTTCAAATGAAAAGTTTGAGACAATCGATGACGTGATAAAAGATGGCAGAAAACAGATGAAAGCCTTTATGAACGCGAGTGCTATTCCCGGAGCGGTTCTGGCGTTTAGTATTAACGGCACAAATGTGTGGACCGAAGGGTTTGGTTATACGGATGTCGAGAACGATGTCATCACTCATAAGGACTCCGTTTGGCGTTTGTGTAGTATTTCTAAATCCATAACTTCAGCACTGATTGGACGGCTTATGGACAAGAAGTTGATTGATCTCAACCACGATATCCACACATATTTGTCATCGAATTTCTATCCCTATAAGACATTCAACGGATCGGCGGTTAATATAACAGTTCGGGAAGTAATGGCACATTTGGCTGGTCTTCACGTAACTAAACTACCCGACGATTTGGCGCATGTTTTTCACGGAGAAAACGCCAGTCAAACGATTACAGCATTCAAAGGCGAGAAACTGTTATCGAAACCGAACACAACATTCAGTTACTCTAACTATGGCTACCAAATGGTCGGCGCTATCATTGAAGCCGTGCTTAACAGCACTTATGATAAAGAAATTGAGAAAATGTTTCGACAATTGAATATGAATTCAACATTTGTTGAGAAAAGAGAAGTGATTTATAAACACAGACCACAGTATTATATGAATGCAAAGACACTAACAAAATCAGATATTGTCGACGAGTTGCTCTCATACGAGGGTTTGTGGCCGGCGGGAGGTATTATAGCGACTGCCAGTGACTTAATAAAGTTTGGAAACGCAATGATATCTGCATATAAGGGAAAGGATAAAAGTATCACAAATATTTTTTGAATTTGAATTTTTTTTTTACAAACAAATAACACGATTTATTATTTTTACAGATTTCTTAAGCGAAGAAACAGTGAAAGAGTTGTGGACTCCGGAGACTATCGGCAAAATTAAACCCAAAGATTTTATAGAATTATTGGGTCCTTTTGAATACGGTTTGTAATTCTGTGATATAATTTAAATATAATTAAAAAATATCTCATTTTTAAAAATAAGGCAAAGGATGGTTCATAAAAACTGTTCCGGACTCTGACCCCTATCCATACAAGAAAATAATGCACCATGGTGGCAATACAATGGCCAGTACAACCATGTTTATGTTATTTCCACATCAGAATATTGTCGGCGTTATTTTTACTAATAAGGGTTTTACAAAAGATTTGATACCATTGATACAAAATGTGGCCAAAAATTTTAAAGAATTTTTATAAATTAATTATAATTCTTGATGTTATTCCATGATGAAGATCTAATAAAATGATTTTATTGTTTAATTTAATTGTAAATCTATTTGTTTTGAGTGTCAAATCCACAGGAAAGATTTATCCTAGATAAGCGTACTTTTATTTCTATACTTTTTAAGTTGTAAATAAGACTGTTTTCATATGTTACTATAATTGATTTATTATAATCTTTATAATTAACTAAATAAATAATTATGTAATTTTATAATGGTTTACTTAAAAACATTACTTATATCCTAAACTATATAATATAGTCTCTACATATATTATACTATACATATATTATACATATATCTACTATATTATAGTCTTTACAATTATAAAGGGTAGATTGTGTACCGTAAACGGTGTATTGTTGGAAAGTATTAAAATTACCTTTTTGGGGCATTAGTAACAATATTTATTCTAAGAACTTATTAGTAATAAGATTACATTCAATAGGAATAAATATAATTATTAATTTCAACAATTTTTATGCTAAAATCTTGTATAATATCTGTAAATGTAGTTAATTACACTAATTATAACAATAATAAATCAGCACAAATGAACCAAGGTTAAAACTATATTGCAGTACCAATTAGGAAATAAAATACTAATTCTATTTTTATCACTATGATATTGGCAACAACGATATTGGTAATTAGTAACAGACCATAAGTTAAAGTATTTAGATAATAAGAATTTACCAAACAATCAAGATATAAATTAGGTATAAATAGAAGACAACGTTTAAAATTTATTAATCATAATTAGTATTTAACAAATAAAATGTTATTTAATATTAAGCTAATTGTTTTATTATTTAGCTATTATTTTTCTGAAGGAAATGGTTTGCAATTTAAACATTTCAATGAAAATAAAGAAAAATATGTCTCAAATCTAAAGTTTGATTCAATTGAAGACGTGATAAAAGATGGCAGAAATCAGATGAAAGAATTGATGCAAAAGCAGTCAATTCCCGGAACTGTAATTGGGTTTAGTATTAACGGCACAAATGTGTGGACCGAAGGGTTTGGTTATACGGATGTCGAGAACGATGTCATCACTCATAAGGACTCCGTTTGGAGAATCGGAAGTGTGTCTAAAACGTTGGCCTCGGCTCTGATTGGACGGCTTATGGACAAGAAGTTGATTGATCTCAACCACGATATTCACAAATATTTGTCACCAAATTTTTATCCCTATAAGACATTCAACGGATCGGCAGTTAATATAATTCTTCGGGAAGTGTTGTCACATATGGCTGGTCTTCGCTTCACTAAAGTACCCGACGATTTGGCACTTGTTTTTCACGCAACAAATTCGAGTCAAACTATCGCTCCGTTCAAAGACGAGGGATTGCTATCAAAACCCAACACAACATTCAGTTACTCTAATTATGGCTTTCAAATGGTCGGCGCTATCATTGAAGCCGTGCTTAACAGCACTTATGATAAAGAAATTGAGAAAATGTTTCGACAATTGAATATGAATTCAACGTTTGCTGAGAAAAGGGAAGCGATTTATAAACACAGACCACAGTATTATTTGAATGCAACAAAACTAACAAAAACAGATATTATTGACGAGTTATTCTCATACGAGGGCTGGTGGCCGGCGGGTGGCATCATATCGACTGCCAGTGATTTAATAAAGTTTGGAAACGCAATGGTATCCGCTTATAAGGGCAAATCAAAAGGTATATAATTTATAATTAGACTATTAATTACAATATAATTCACAAATTTAATAGATTTCTTAAGTGACAAAACAGTAAAAGAGTTGTGGAATCCGGAGACCATTGGAAAAATCAAACCCATAGAGTTGGGCACAAATGATTATGGTATTAGTTATCAAAGTGCTTAATATTTAATTCTGATGTGATATTTATTGTAATGATTTCCAAAAGCCAAGGGATGGTTTATAACACACATTCCCGATACCGTTCCCTATCCCTATCGGACACTAATCTGGCACTCGGGAGGACTCTTAGGTTCGTCAACAATGCTTATCCTATTTCCCGACCAGAATATAGTGGGCGTTGCCTTCGCTAATAAGGGCTATACCGCGGGTTTGGATCAAATGATTCTTTATGTGGCCAAAAATTTTAAAGATTTTTTGTAACTATTAATTTTAATAAATGAATTATTATAAACAGCATGATTAATTATTGTAATTTTATTTATAATATCTAATGTTCTACTATTTTTAATAATGGTCTATATTTAATAATAAGTTAAAAACTCAACTCTATAAGATGTCAATTAATAGTATAAAATACCAATTAATTGACATTTAAATATCATATTTATTATTTATATTGATTGAATGTCAGAATTTTTTTTAAACGTTTATTTTGATTTTTTATATTTTGATATTTATATTGATTTTATTATCAAGAAATTGCTCATGGTTAGTTTGGGTGTTATCTATATTTGAATCCCCTTCAAACCATGCATATCAACCATTTTTATTACTTAATTTTAATTAAAACACAGTTTAGAATTTTAGTGCCCTACCATTTATGAAATAAAATCCTGATGAATTAATAATCACTAATTCTGTACTTATATACTTGTATAGTATTGCAGTATTATCCCTAATACAGCCCATATATTACATATGGTATGCAGTATATCCCGTGCATACCATCCCGTACATACAGTACACCCCATACATAGCTCTACCATCCCATTAAAGTCTCTACCATCTCATAAATTATAACATCTGGATAGTGTATGGCTTGTAGTACTGGGCCTACAGTGGTTGCATAACCACCGCCCAGTCCTGCGGACCATACACTATGCCTACACTCAGTGTATATATGCCGTACACTAGTGTGAACTCTACACAGTCTTCCCTTAGCTCTGGTCAAGTGTTGATCAAATGTTTTAATGCTAGTAAATATATGTTACATTTTCTTGAAAATAAGAGAGTGATGCATAACACTATTGTGCCTACTTTCCCGGGCCTTAGCAATGAGTATTGTTTCAATTGAAAACCTAACATGTAACCTGTTACATTGTCAATGGGATTATAGATATAGAGTCGACCCCTATCCATTGATATTAGAAATAAAATGCAAACATTTAACTGGTTAAATCACTCAATGGTTCAAATTAACCATGGTAATAGTATTATACCACTATCAAATCACTAGCATGGTTGATTTATTTACAAAATATGTCTAAATTAGCAACAATTCCTAGAATCAAAGCATCCAAACCATCGGTATATCCCATATTAGTGAACGTCTACTATATTCTGGTTAGTGTTGGTATTTAAAATTGGTATTTAAATGTAAACTTTACTTAAAATTATGTACTTTACATTAAATATCTTAAGAATTTAAATTTAACTCGTAAGAATTGTATTGATAAGTTATTAAATTAGGATTGTAGTCATAGAGTCGACACCTATCTATTGATATATGAACTAAAAAACAAGAATTTATCTGATTAAATCATTTCGGTAATATTATTATTCCACTATTAAACCACTATCATGAATCATGATTGATTAAATTACAAAAATTGCCTAAATGTCTTTATTTGTAATTATCAAATTTTATAGTTCTACCATCACTGTATTAATTTAATAAACTGACCAGTTTATAATAAATTTATATTATTCTATGATTAATATTGCAAGTATTGTTGAGTTCATTCAACAACTTCACAACTCATATTTATTATTAAGATAATTAATGCTAACATTTTATTAAAGTGTTTAATTGTACACAAAATTAATTTATAAAAATTGCTTAAAATTTTTGGCCACATTTTGTATTAGTGGAATCAAATCCTGTGTATGACCTTTATTAGTGAATACAACGCCCACTATATTCTGTTTGGGAAACAATAAAAGCATTGTGGTAACGCCGTCCAGATTGCCACCATGCCACATTATTGTCTTATATGGATAGGGATCCGATTCAGCGATAGTCTTAATAAACCACGCTTTGGCTGATTTTGCAAATAAATCATTTTTAATATAAAAGTCAATATAAATATACTGTAAATACAAACCATATTCAAAAGGACCCAAGTGTTGGATCCAATCTTTGGGTTTAATTTTGCCGATAGTCTCCGGAGTCCACAACTCTTTCACTGTTTTCTCACTTAAAAATTCTATTACATTGAAAAAAGTGGATTTAATTATCTATAATTTTTTAATTTTTGATTTAAAATAATTTATACCTTTATTTTTGCCATTATATGCGGCTATCATTGCATTTCCAAACCTTATCAGATCACTGGCTGAGGCTATTATACCCCCCGCCGACCAAATGCCCTCATATGAAACAAATTCGTCACTAATATCTGATTTTATTACTTTTGTTGCATTCATATAATACTGTGGTCTGTGTTTATAAATCGCTTCCCTTTTCTCAACAAACGTTGAATTCATATTCAATTGTCGAAACATTTTCTCAATTTCTTTATCATAAGTGCTGTTAAGCACGGCTTCAATGATAGCGCCGACGATTTGGTAGCCATAGTTAGAGTAACTGAATGTTGTGTTCGGTTTTGATAACAACGGCTCGTCTTTTTGTTTAGCGATAGTTTGGCTCACATTTACTGCTCGGTAGACATTACCTAATTTATCAAAAATACTTACATCTCCAAGACCAGCCAAATGTGCCATTACTTCCCGAACCGTTATATTAACCGCCGATCCGTTGAATGTCTTATAGGGATAGAAATCCGGTGACAAATATGTGTGGATATCGTGGTTGAGATCAATCAACTTCTTGTCCATAAGCCGTCCAATCAGTGCTGAAGTCAAGGATTTAGAAATACTACACAAACGCCAAACGGAGTCCTTATGAGTGGTGACATCGTTCTCGACATCCGTATAACCAAACCCTTCGGTCCACACATTTGTGCCGTTAATACTAAACCCAATAACAGTTCCGGGAATTGACTGCTTTTCCATCATTTCTTTCATCTGATTTCTGCCATCTTTTATCACGTCTTCAATTGAATTAAATTTTTGATTTGAAACATATTTATCTGAATTTTCATTGAAATGTTTGAATTCTAAACCATTTCCTTTAGAAAAATAATAGATAAATAATAAAACAATTAGTTTAATATTAAATAACATTTTATTTGTTAAATATTTCTTATGATTGATAAATTTTTAAGCGTTGTCTTCTATTTATACCTAATTCATATCTTGATTGTTTGTTCAATTTTTATTATCTAAATACTTTAACCTATGGTCTATTACCAATTACCAATATCGTTGTTGTCAAATACATTATCTTGTTGATAAAAACAGAATTAGTATTTTATTTCCAAATTAGTAGTGCAATAAAATTCTAACCTTGGTACATTGATATAATTTCTAAAGATTGCACCAATATAATTATTTAACAATCGGTAAACCAAAATATTCACAATAAAATATAATTTAAGACAAACATTTGGTACCAATAAATCACATGATTCTAACGATTCGTGTAAATAATGTCGTCAAAAATCACAATTTAAAACACTTTTAAACCATTTAAATAATATATGAACTTAATATTGTCAAAAGTTCCCAATTGCCCAGGAGTCTTAGCCTGTACAAGGCAACTCAAGGAATTGCATGATTGTGAATATATTGATTCATACAGTTTTGCTTGAAAAAATAATACAAAGCTAAATACTGTACTACAATTTTCAATTCAATTTTTTTTGTTATCAAAACATTTTAAAAAAGGATATGCCAGGATAAATTTAATTATAAATGAAAATATTTAATTATTTTTATATAGCAAATCAAATGCAAAATATTATAAAACAAACTTAAGTTCATTATTTATTTTATAAATGCAATATTATTTACAAAAATTGTTTAAAATTTTGTGCAACATTTAATATAAGTTGATCCAAACCGTAAGTCACGCCCCTATTAGCGAAGGCAACGCCCACTATATTTTGTTTAGGAAACAGTATAAGCCATGTTGAAGTGCCAGAGAGTCCTCCCGAGTGTAAGATAATTGTCTTATAAGGATATGGATCTGATTCGGGAATATTTGTTACGAACCATCCTTTAGCTGTAAAATATTGAGTATTCATTAAAAATTTATATACTGAAAAATAATTATTATAAATAATACCATAATCATCTTTCCCCAATTCTATGGGTTTAATTTTGCCGATAGTCTCCGGAGTCCACAACTCTTTCACTGTTTCTTTGCTTAAGAAATCTAATAAATGAATGATTAATTATCTATTAAATAACAAATTAAGTAATATTTAAAAAAATACCTTTTTGTTTGCCATTATTTGCAGATATCATTGCATTTCCAAACCTTAACAGATCACTGGCTGTTGCTATTATACCGCCTGCCGGCCAATTGCCTTCATATGTGACCAACTCGTCAACAATATCTGATTTTTCTAATTTAGTTGTATTCGTATAATACTGTGGTCTGTGTTTATAAATTGCTTCCCTTTTCTCAACAAAAGTTGAATTCATATTTAATTGTCGAAACATTTTCTCAATTTCTTTATCATAAGTGCTGTTAAGCACGGCTTCAATGATAGCGCCGACCATTTGGTAGCCATAGTTTGAATAACTCCATTTGGTGTTAGGTTTTGATAGCAACTTCTCGTCTTTAAATTGTGCAATAGTTTGGCTCACATTTACGGCTCGAAAGACATGAACAAAATCTTCGGGAAAATTACTGAAATGAAGTCCAGCCATATGTGACATCACTTCACGAACCGTTATATTAACTGCCGATCCATTAAATGTTTTATAAGGATAGAAATCCGGTGACAAATATGTGTGGATATCGTGGTTGAGATCAATCAATTTCTTGTCCATAAGCCGTCCAATCAGTGCTGAAGTCAAAGGTTTTGAAATACTGGCCAAACGCCAGATCGAGTCCTTATGAGTGATGACATCGTTCTCGACATCCGTATAACCAAACCCTTCGGTCCACACATTTGTGCCGTTAATACTAAACCCAATTACAGTTCCTGGAATTGAGTTTTCCTTCATAATAGTCTTCATCTGATTTCTGCCATCTTTTATCACGTCTTCAATTGAATTAAATTTCTGATTTGAACCATATTTTTCATTGTATTGATTGAATTGATTGAATTCCAATTCATATAGAAAGCCATTACTTTGAGACAAGTAATGACTTAAAATTAAAACAATAAATTTCATGTTGAATAACAATCTGATTCTAATGATATTGTTATTAACTAAATATTGTCACCTTTTATACTTATTATATAGCTTATGAATAAGGTGCACAATTTTTATAGGATTTATATGATACATTGGAATTTTGTGGCAATAATGCTTGTACCTTGGTACATTTGTTCTACTAACATAAGTATTATATTTGTCACAGATATGAAGTAATTATCAAAATGTGTCAATTCATCATTTGATGCAATTACTGGATTAAAGTATACGATAGTACAGTATTATACTGCAATATTATTGTATCTTATGCGCGCATTTAATACAGTAATGACCCGGCACTCGGGTACTTACCATGGGGTAGACCTCCCGTGGGGACTTACCTTTACCGTGGGGTTTGGCTCAATGATGTCGGTGCGCGCGCGGAGCGTTATAGTTGTAATGAATGCACAAATATTGCCGCAAAACTATTTATTAAGGTTCACAATACCAATAAAATACAATAAAATAAAGAATAAAAAAGTTATATAATTGTGGGGTTTATGCAGTACTCAGGCCATAACTAAGGCTATACTAAAGAGATGGGAAGAAGCTAAACTAAATACTCTGATCAACACTTGACCAGAGCTAAGGGAAGACTGTGTAGAGTTCACACTAGTGTACGGCATATATACACTGAGTGTAGGCATAGTGTATGGTCCGCAGGACTGGGCGGTGGTTATGCAACCACTGTAAACAAATATTGCCGCAAAACTATTTATTATGGTTCACAATACCAATAAAATACAATAAAATAAAGAATAAAAAAAGTTATATAATTGTGGGGTTTATGCAGTACTCAGTCCATAACTAAGGCTATACTAAAGGGATGAGAAAAAGCTAAGCTAAACACTCTGATCATCACTTGATCAGAGCTAAGGGCAGACTGTGTGGAGTTATCACTAGTGTACGGCATATATACACTGTGTGTATGCATAATGTATGGTATGCAGGACTGGGCGGTGGTTATGCAACCACTGTAGGCCCAGTACCACATGTCATACAGAATGCCAGATGTGGTAATTTATGATGGTAGAGCAATATATGGGATATACTATACTGTACGGGATGGTAGAGCTTGCATGGGGTGTACTGTACTGTACTGTACGGTAGTGTACGGGACGGATGGTATGCACTGTATATATTGCATACCATATGTAATGTATGGGCAGGATTAATGGTAATACTGCAATATTGCTTGCTCAACTTTATATATACCAAATATATTTATTTTATATAATTATTTCTTTGATTATTTTTTATTTAATTTGTATAACCTCGTTAATAAAAAACAATTAAATTATTTACTTTGTAAATATAAAACATTTACATTTTTATTTAATTACATTGTCTAATCAAATGATAATAACAAAAACAGAATTCAATTAGAAAACTAAAATATCAATAACTTATTTTTGTTACAAATCTAATAAATGATTAAATAATATAGCCATATGCCAATCAAACTAGTAAAGTAACGTTTATTATTATTGAAAATAAAGTAAAAATATTTGTACATGTGTCAAAACTTTTGACTCAAAAGTATTATTATAATTATATAATCAATACTGTTACCATGTGTTTATTAGTTTCCTGTTGATTATTTAATCAATATCATTTTTATTATGTTAATTTAAATAAATTTATGCCATGACAAATACAAATGCGTTTTTGCTATTTAAAACAGTAATTAGAAAATCAGTTTATAATAGTTGATATAATTTATAAATATATTAAAATGAAGTTAAAATCGTATTACACAATAATATCATACGTGATATGTTTGATGGGATGTGTGTATCAAACGTATAAAATAAGTGAATTATACTTTTCATACGAAACTACAACTAATGTTATATACGAGGCAAATAGTGTGCACATTACAGACACGGCTTATACTATTTGTATGGATAAAAAATCACGATTAAATTGGCAATTAATTAAACACTTGGGTTTATATTCTATAAATAAAACAACTTTGAATATAAGCATGTTTAATATGCAATCTTTCGGGCAACAATTTAAATTACTTATTAATTATGATAATTGTTTATATGTTAAACATGGTAATATTATTAGAAATTGTACCCCAATGTTATCAATCTCGCCGTATGATTATTGCATCACATTACCTCCATCAATATTACAATTAAAAATATTAACAAAATTTAACGTTACTACAAACATACAATATACAATGAACATGACCAACTGTTCTAGCGATAATCGGGTGCGTTTATACATGCACAATTACAAAGAGCGAATTTATATACCAAATGAATATAACGCTATGCTTCACAGTCCCACCGAAATTGACCTTGTGTGTAATAGAATAAATTACGTAACATTCAAACATACCGTGGTTAAATATTCCGGCAATATATTACTGGGCACTAACTGTATTACTGGCAAAGATGGTTACACTAAAGATTTCTGCATTAATCGGTGCATTATTAATGAATTCTCGCGCATAAACTCATCAATATATCCATACTATTTGTTATACTATTATACCGGCAATGAATCGTTTGGTCATTTCTATGGTGAAAAACATTATGGTAATATTTATAGACCATGCTATAATAGATGTATTTCTAAAAGAGAGTGTATTAAACATTTTTACACAGTTGATAAATTTGTAGAAAAATTGCCCAATAATTACATTAATGAATCAATTATTCAAATATCGATGCCTTCAGAGCCGACGACTGTATACGAGATATCATTAAAAATGTCTGCCGAAGAATACATTAGTCTAACAGCAAGTATAATAAATATATGGTTTGGTTTCTATATCATTATGTTTACGCAAACTGTTTGGAAATTTTGCAATAAAATTAAGATCAATTACATACATGTAATTTTTGCTTCAATTATGTTACCTAAATTTTATAATTTTTGTTCAAACATCAACTTTACTTTAACGGCTATTAACAATATTGAAGTAAAATATTTAAGACGACCAACATGGGCAAGACAAATTCGTATACAACCTCGATGATATTAATGCCAATCCAATTAACAACTATTTCATTATTTTCATGTTGTTCTGTACATAATATTACTACCTGTCATATATTTCTATTCATATAACTTTTTAACCAAGATGCGATTTTATAAAAATGCAATATTCTGTGAAAAAAGATTAATAGAATACAAACATTATTATCAACATTAATATTTTTAGCTCAACTTTCTATACATGTATAACTGTATAACAAATATGTTTGTTTCCAATTATTATTTTAATTATATTTATTCAATTAATAATATAGTGAATAAAAAACAATTAATATATTTACTTTATGTACAATTACATTGTAATTTTAATTAACTAAATTATGCAATAAAATGATTGAAAAATTTAATTTGGTTTATTTATCATGTTTATTTAATCATATTGTTATGTAAGGCCTTATAACACAAGTATATAAATGCCGTAATTATAGGCACACATTAACTAAATGTCAAAATTGGGTACAGGTGTACTTTTA